GTTCTCATAACTTTCATTTACAGTGGGAAGGGAACTGAATGCTACCACCATCTGGTACCATTCCTACCTCCAAGAGAAAATGCTTAAATTCTCAGTGGAGATATTCATTAAAAAAAATTCTATCCCAATCTATAATGCAATATTGAGGCAGTAATGGGGCTTAAAATTTCATTTGTGTGGTCTGTGTAGTGCAGCAGAGAGTATTAAATAGCGTATGTAAGCCATGTGGCTACGTAGTGTGTGATGTGGGAGGTAACACCAGACAGAGTGACGGACCGCCATTCACAATAGCTGCCGATAGTCAGAGCTAACAGAGCTAACAGAGCTGACCAGGCACAAGCAGCTGCTGTCAAACTGTCCACGCTGGAAACAGAGAGTCCACTGGAGCTTTTACAGTCACAAAAAGAACATTTACAGCTGTTAGTAAAAGTTTCTGTGTGGTACTTGTGTTGTAAAGTTAGCTAAGCTACATCAGCTCAGCTAGCTCAGCACTAGCAGAGCTCACCAGCCATGAGCAGGTGCTGTCAGACTCTCTGTGTCTGCGATGCAAACACATTTACAGCTGTTTTAAACGTTGGTGATGTATGTGGTGACAACAGCTGCCAGCACACACATCACCTGCCTCCAGATCAGCCAACAGCTGAATTCAGTTGCAATAGCCGGGTTCAAGTATTCAAATACTTTGCACTGAAATGGCCAGATTTGGACTTGAGTCCATCAACCAAATGGGTAAATATCCAAATGCATAGGGTTTTTGGCAGAAAAAAGTGTTTTAGGGGGTTACGTTGCTCTTTAATGTCCAAATAAATGTTGCCAACAACCTACCAAAATTATGAATGTGGGTAAATATAATTGAGTAAAGGTTCAATTGGCTGAAGAAGATCCTGTATATAGTGAGGTCTTTTATAACTGGTGTCAGTTTATTGTGAAAGCAGTTATGTCTATGGAAGCGCCTTTAAATATTGCATGCTTCAGATGTGTTTTATTGGACTACATATGACAGCTGGCCGCTGCGTGTGAAATTGCAGTGCATCTAGATGGAGCTTTTGGGTCAGAGACAGATCATGACGTCTCTGAGCAAAGAGGAATCTAGTATCAAAGAGCTGCTTCGGAGAGGCGACACAGAGGGAAGAGGGCCTTATCATGTTGAAGCTTGAAATATTTATTTGATACAATAGACACTTACAGTTGCTGTAGCTCAAGGGTGACATGATTGAAAACCACAGCAAGCCATTAATGTTTCACATGTGGTTATGAGTAAAAGATGAACCAGACCCTTTTTTTTATTATTATTCTCCTATTATTTATATGGTCAACAAAGACTTGGAGGTAATTAATCATTTTGTTCACTTTTCTCCCCATTTTTCTGCCTTGACAGTGTTGTTCACTGAACATATTGTTTCAACTGAAGGCGGCGCCTTAAATGAATTCTTATTAGCCATCTAAAAATAGTCTCCTGGTTTCAGGGTCTAGGCTGCCTGTAATCTGACAAGCACAGAGGGAGCATCATGACCAGCCAGCTGCCAGAGTCTCAGTGAAAAACATAAGGAATATGGGCATTATATCATAAATCTCCAGTGGAATATCAGTAGCAGTTATGAAATATGTATTGCTTATAATTAGCACCAGAGAATCAACATGAGGAAACATATGGCATGTAGGGATGTCATGAGAACCAACGTTTTGGTACCAAGTCGATACCAAAATTCTAGTAATTTTATGGAACTAGTTTTCCTACAGTACCATAGGTACCTAAAGTGCGGCATATAAGACTACAAATACTGTACAGCAAAACTTTTTTGCACAATGCTCCATCGTCAACTCTCTCCATCTGTGTCGCTGTGCTTCGTATGTGTGTGTAAGTAGAGCTCAGCCCCACCTGCAGTGAAACACCACTGCGGGTGGGGCTGAGCTCCTGGTCAGAGGCGAGACAGAAAGCAGTGTAGAGTTGTACACTCACCACGCCACTGCAAGTGCAACAAAAGCCCTGCGAACAAAAAGCAAATAAGAATAATTTCTTAATGTAGTCCGTGTAAAGGATGTACACACGAGGACAATAAACACTCAGCAGAATACAGTTATTTCAGGTAGCTCAAGTTGGCTAAGGCTGCACTGAAGCAACACTTCAGGACGCTTTTAAAAAGGGAAAGAGAAAGTTCCCCTAGACACCGACAATACAAGACACCGAATACAGAGAGCTTGCAAGGCTATATTATAGCCTGCTTTGTTTATTAGTTATTCAGTATAATATTCCACTAATTTCAAATAGTCCACTCTGTTATTCAACGTTTTATTATGAACATACAATTTAACTTTACAAAAATGTTTTTGGTATCGGCAGTTCAGACTTTTAAACAAATCAGAAATTGAAATCGGCCAAGAAAATTGCAATCAGTACATCTCCAAATAATATGGCCCTGTATGTGTACATGTTTATCGTCACTGATAACAATCTCATAGTGTGAGGTTCTTACAAGATGGTTTTCCAATGTTTGTGTTAAGGTCAGCAGCTTACTGGTATAATCAGCGAAATTCTGAAGACACAAACGCCAGAATAATCCATCTGCACATCCTGGACAGATCACCCGTCTATTGCAGGAGAAATACATATAATTTTATTTTGCTGCCACTATAGTTTATCTTTGCACTTGGAAGGGGATGGTGCAGTGAGGTAGTGTAGCATCTACACTGTTAGATGCTACAAAATCCTCCACATTGGAACTTTAAATACTGAGGCCATAAGCCTTACTCATACTCTCAGTCACCTTGAAACTCACCTATATGTGTGTAAAAGACTTTCTGCCAGTGTCCTCTGTTGTGATACAGCAGATGTTTCAAATTTGTTTTATGGGCCCAAAAACAGCCCCATTTTTTTTTTTTACAAGAAGAAATTTGCATGAAACAGTAGCATTTCTCCACAATGTGATGTTTGATACCTTGATGCATTACAGTAATGTGCAATTCATGTGATCAAGAATCAAACACCAATATGATCAACATACAAAGAAGCGATCGATAGTGAGCTGAAAAGGAGCAACTGCTTTAGGAAGATCTGTGTCTTTGAGTGTAATCTTTCTCCCTGTATTCCATTCAGTCACTGTTGGTTTCAATGTCTGCAGTGCAACGACCTGGATTCCAATCCACTGGGAAGAAGGTGGGGATGCAGGATAACAGACTGCACAAGGGACCTCAGCAAGGATTGGCTTTAACACATGCACCAATTACAGTAAGCACAGCATGCATCCTTTTCCAAACACTGCTGAGCGCGCCACGCACCCCCTGAGAACACATCTGCTTTGGTACACAGATCCCAATGCTACTCCCCCATATGTACGCATGTATTATTCTGGCACACATTCACACTTTGTGAACACACACACAATAACGCACAACATCAAAATAAAATACTGTACAACAGTAGAAGCACATTTTAATTCCTTCTTCCACGTCAAAATATAGATGCAATGCATATGTCTATTGCTATTATCCCAATGCTCAGCAACCTTGAAATTAAAATTTACTTCAAAAAGTAACAAAACAATAAGTCAAACTTAATCTTTCATTATTTCCATTTTCATACAAATGAACAAACCATTTTATAAAATTCAATTTTACCTTTGCTAGTCTGTGAGATTCACTATATGTCCAACACGCATCTTTCATAGGACATTAAAGTCTTTATGTACCATTTGAACCATGTTTGGCTCAGTTCAATGACGACAGTAGTCCAGTGGAAAGCAAGAGTCCTGGTAAAATGATGCTACATTAAACTTTATATTAAAGTAAATGGTCAAATGTTCAATACAATCAATCACCATGATGGCAATAACTACAAATAATAAGGCACAGATTCCCCACCCGCTCTTTATCTGTGTACAGATGCACTAAGTGACATTCCAAAATTCTTCTGGAGTTAAAATTATATAAATACATGTACAACCCTTTTTAACAAAATTCCATAACTGGATAGTCGCCCAAAGTAGAATTACATCATGTTGAAAAGTTGGTGAAGATGTGAGGAATACAAGCCTTAAAGGAACAATATGTAATATATTACATTTTTCTATTAGAATATGTCATCAGATGTTTAGGAAACATGTTCAACTGAAATTGTGGTTTATCTGACAACAATGTTACAGCCTATATATAGTCATTTTAAATGTATATTCCGGTGCAGAATTTCTGTTATGTTTTGACCGACTGCCTGTTTGGTTGCCAGATATGGACCTAATTTCCGTGCGAACACAGCGAGCTGCTCCCATGGCAGCAATCAGTGTATCAGCAGAGATAATGTTGGAGTCTGTCCAACCTAAAAAGCCTCTAGATCTGTGTAAAAGTCGAGTTGGCTCATTTCAGACTGCTGTCGAGTTGGCTCATTTCCTCCTGAACAGGTAAGCACTGAGCTGAGTCTATTTGGCTAACACCATCATGCTAACACTCGTTATTCAGACCAAATCGGATGTTGTTCAGCGCAGGGTGGTGTGTTGGGATGTTTAGTTTTGCTGAATGTAACCACTGTGAAACAATCAGAAAATAAAGTTTATTTATTTGATTCACCGGCTGTCCGCTCTCTACTCCTCAGTCCTCATTCATTGTCTATGCCGCTCGACCAAACAAACAAACTGAAGGAAACATCTGGATATTGCTATATTCATTCCTCAATACAGGATGTGATCAACTCAGATAAAATGATCAAACTTTATGGCAGAAAGGGTTTATGTTTGTTTATTTCTCCAGGAGCGGTGGCTGGAACTGCTCACCATGAGACAAATGAACACAGATGGGTGCAGGTGGAGCTGCCATCATGACTGCATGGAACGCAATGGGACAAAGCAGAGGCTCGTAAGAGGTTCACTGGCTCATGAGGCTCTTCAGAACATAATCAGGAACAAGCAGTGGCGGAAGTAAGTTCATCCATTTGTTCATAAGTTTGTTTTTGAACAATACAAAGATAAATGACTAAATCTTTGAATTTTGTTTTGTTTTTTTTACAGACCTCCAGCTAACCTTGAGTGTGTCCAGAATCACATACTGATGTATGCCAGTAAGCTTTCAGCATTCATCCCACCAGCCTTTGAGGCCCGAACCCTGCCCGCAGCCCTTGACTACAACTACCATAAGGACTGATGACACTTGATGGAAGCAAACAGTGAGTTGGATTGTTTGGAGCCATATTATCATGTTTGTTGCACAATAAAATGTATCTTATATAATCTAGTGGAGAGACCAGAAGAGGAGAGGAGAGTTGGTGGGGGAGATTACTGCCAGGAGGAGATGACTGGAGAGCGGAGAAGAGTCTTCTCTACTCTCCAGTCATCTCTCTTTTCCTCCGCTCCCTCTGGAGATAAGAACGGCTCATTCTCAGGTAACATAAAGACAAAGATTCTTATTATCAGATGATTATACAGTACTGAAAACACACTTATGAATATTATATTCCATTACTACCAATAGATCCTCTTAAATGTTACACACTGGACCTTTAATGCACAGATAGAGACTATGATTTCTTTTCTACAACATTCTTTGCTAAAGCACTAGACCACAACACAGTAACTAGAGTCTAATTATTCTCAACAGTGCCAGCATTCCAGACAGGCTGATGAGCAGCATTTTCCACTGGAGTAAGAGCCTCAAACATGTGCCCACGCTCACTTTATTATCCATATGTTCATTAATAGTTAGGAATATTTCTTTATATCTGTATTCTATACATTCTATTTTCTGCATTACATTTTCAGTAAGGTCATTACACTGCCTTGAGTTATATTGCAATACCATTATAGTGAGAATTACTTGAATCTCAATACTAGTAATAACAGCTAGTGCTTGAAGTAGGCATCAACAGACCTCAGATCACATAAAGCACTTCACTTTGATATACATTTTCACACACACATCACAGGGTCTGTGCTGGCTTATATTTATCTGCTGATTCTTACCAACAGTTTTAAAATAATACAAACGGACCCGTTTTAAATTCAAATTTGTGTAAATATATTATTGCTGAATGCATTCAGAAAATGATTTGCCAATTTGACTGAAATACTACCCCTGTCCTGATCAATATTGTGTGGTCCCAAACATAAATCTTCCTTCTGATGCTGATCTGCTATGTCATGCTGGATAGTTTTCACAGATAACGTTGCTAATTCAGTTATTGGTTTTGAACACAGTCACACACACACACACACACACACACACACACACACACACACACACACACACACACACACACACACACACACACACACACACACACACACACACACACACACACACACACACACAGAGCCTCAGGTGTCCCAGCCAGGGACACTGATAATCAGTCCTTCACAACTTCCTGGAAGATGTATCAGGGGTCGTCACTTTCAATTGGGAAAGCAGGAATAATATGTGCACTGCATCGGCACTCTCCAATTTGAGCGTTGTGCTACACGTTTCCCCAATCACGACTCACGCGGCATAGGAGCCTCAATTAAATCTTAAGTCTGCAACAAATATTGGTGGAACAAATTCATGACCTCCTTTGGTTATTCTTACATTAAACTGTTTGGCTTCCATTCAGATTTCAAGTTTATACCCTGAAAGCACTCTCAGATCATACGAGGATCAATACACACTGAGCCACCTTAAATATCATACACCATTTTCTCTGGACAATCAAAACCATACTATATATTGCACACATGGGATTATTTATGAAACAATGTACTATAAATGCCTTGAACAGATTGGATTCCTTTTTTTGTCACATTATTCAACAAAAATATATTTAACAGAAGGTCGGTGTAGCTTCAGCCGGTTTGTCTTTTGTGCATCACTTTTCATACAAACATGGTGACAAGAGTTTCAGTGTTGCCTAAAACATAATTTAACTATAAAAGAGGACATCTTCTTCCTGTGTGACATACTGAGGGTGCTGCTCATTTATACTTTGGGTGCTGCGCAGTATTTGTGCTTTGTAACTTTGTACCTCCCACACAACAACCGTTTTCTCCCAGGAGAACAGGAGATTGGCCATTATTGAAGCCCACAGTGGTGGAGTAAGATTGCTAACCATTGCAATATTCATGCAAATTTTACAGTCTTCATTCCTTTTTGTCTGTTGTGTAATAAAATATAACTTGTATACTGGTATCTGTTTTAGCTAAATATCTTGATTGTCATCACTCACTGCCAACTGTATGCTGCCTCAGCACATAATGACATGAACGATGTGTCAGCCAAACAGAGGATGGTGGAAATGGTGATTATGGGATTCCAGCCTGTTTCTCTAACAAATTCAACTAGACAAATGTTGTGCATTGCAATTCCATTTCTGTGAAAAGATATTTGATCACCCCCCTAAACAGAGTAGCACACTGATGGTCAACCATGATAAGCTACTATTTCTTGCCACCCAAAACCATGTAAAGCTGTCAAAACCCACCTCTGCATCCATGACTCGACAGCGACTATGTAGGTCAACAGCCTCTGACAGGCTCTATACGCTTAGGGGGTGTAGCTGCACATTGCAGAGGAAGCTCTTGCACAGAGAGACAGATACATATACACACACACACACTTCAACCATTAAAAACTGAAAACAGTCAGGACAGGAACATAAAGAGGTCATGAGCATCTCACCACTCTGAAGCAACTGATTCGGCTCTACAGCATCGTTAGAAGAGCAGGATGCAGCAGTATCAAACAGCTCACATCATTTCACAACACTATAGTGAGATAAAGTAAGGAGTTAGCACCCAGGAAGCTCCCAAGATAGAAGCCACGCAGAACACTTGAGTTCTGCTGAGAGATAAGGGCCAGACAAAATTATGTTGTGATTAAAACTCACAACATACATAAAGTTATGTTCCAGAGGATCAGTAAGTGAGATGTAGTCAGTCAGAGGCATGACAGGCAAAAACACAGACAGATTTCAGCACTCACTGTAGCTCCTATACATTGGCAGGATCATAAATGTAAGAAGAATTATTTAGCATGAGAAAGAGCCACAATGCACTGGCCATAAGGCAGGAGTCCCTAATTACTGCCTTGTGGGGCCTTGCTTATCATCAGCGGCAATTTTTGTGTGGCAAATATTCCCACAACAGCCTTTGATGTAATTACTTTCCAAACAGCTCCCCTCTAGCCAATATCCTGTTCTAAATTCATGGCTTGGCTTGTTTGCAACGTCACTGGAACACACACGTTTTTCATTTTTTGCCCTGTAGTGAATGGAGACACTGCAGCTCCACCGACGCCAGGAAGCAGACCAAACTATATTCGCCGCTACTAGAGTAAACAGGTAAAGTACAGTCTGCTGAAAGAACGCCAGAAAAACAGCTATTCATAAATAAAAACATGTTGTTATAGCCATTTTTTAACTTAGTGAGAAAGCAATGTAAGGTAGAGTTAAGGATGCAGCTCCTTTGAGAACAAACCTGCAGTGAGCTTCATTATAAAAATAAAGAGCAAACAGAGGACAGAAGCACAGCTAGCCTCCCATCTACTGTTCTTCCTCCAAACACTGTTGAAGGACATCTCTAGTTAGTTTTAAAAACATTTGTATCTTCTGTCATGTGCCTCAAGGACAACATAATATATTTTCATAATTTGTTGGAGCCACAGAGTCAAAAATGTTTAGTTTAAAGTTCCAGTGTGTAACATTTAGGATGATCTAGTATACTATAATATCCATAGGGATGTTTTCATTAGTGTACAATCAACTGAAAATATAATCGTTGTGTTTCTGTTACATTAATGAGACATTTTTATATACAGAGAGAGTCCGCCATGTGGATCCACCATGTTTCTACAGTAGCCCAATACGATCACACCAAAAAGTTGATCCTACACGCTCAGTTGAGTCAAGGGGTTTCCGTAGGTTGCAATCTGCAATCTGATCAATAGAGGTCACTAAATCCTACATACCGGTCCTTTACAGAAGGGGCTATATTTATATGGAAAATACGTTTTAACGCTGCGATTATACTTTATCAAAGACCAATATTTGGGCATTTCAGTTACAATTATAAAGATTATTTTTTGGGCTTTTATAGCCTTTATCAGACAAGAGCAGCTGAAGAGAGACAGTAGTGGGGACGGGGGGGAATCGAATCCAGGTGGCTCACTCAGCCTTTCTACGTGGGATGCAAGCACCACCAGATGAGCTACCAGGGCACCGCACAATTATAATAACATTTAAGAGGAGAAAGCATAGAAAAATCAAATACAAGGTGGTTTGTAGATAAACAGTCTAGGTATACAATATTTGGATCAAAATGCTTAGTAAATTAAGGTTTCAAAAGCACTCTAAATTATGTTCTAGTCATCACAATGGCACTTAAGCGTTGGGAAAGCTAACTCTATTGGAAAAATGTGTCTCTGTGTTTATGCTGTTGTTGCCATAACACATGATCACATGTCAGCATGCATGTGAAAAAATTGGGATTCATTTTACATGTTTTAATTCAGCAAACAACTCTTTCTGTGCCTCTGTGTGAAGTCACTGCCCAACCACTTTTATTATGTTTTGAAAAATGAAGAGCCTAATAAATAGTAAAATGGGCCTTTCAAAAAGTTCCTCTCTTAATATACCGTTTATATAGAAATAATTCAAAAACAAATAAGTAAAAGCACCTGCTTTGTGGGCTGTTCATCACATTTTATGACTATTGCAAATTTATTGGTGACCAAAGTGTTCAGCCAAGCCGTTGACCTTGACAGAAGTGCACAATTCAATTTCACTTCTAGCTTCGAAACAGCCATAGGGATGATTTTAAACAGCCAGACATAATTCTGCCTAATAGAATACATTATCAAAGTACAATAGCCGGAATTTGTTTTGTCTCATTGCAGACTGTCAGTGTCACGCTGCATATTTGCAGTCACACTCCATGAAAAGAAGATCACAAACTAAAGGTTTTCAAATGAATGTGACCTTTAAACTTGATATTTGTCAATGCTTTCACAGCTGCATCACCATTTTCATAATGACTTGATGAAATCTTCTTCAAAGGACCCTTACATATTTGGGATGGGGTGGAAAGGGGAATGCATTTCTGCTCATGTAACTTGACAAATTGTGCTTCAAGGTTTCTATTTATATCTTTCTCATCTCACAGGGAGGGTAGAATCTTCCCAATTCCCTTGCTGTTTGCCAGAGGCTTAGTGTGACATATTGCTAATCTGGTTATTATGCAATTTATCAGCCGTCTCTCTTTTACAGCCGTGCATGGATATTATGCAGGTTTCTTATGAGCCTAACTGCAATAACACTGCAAGGAGCTAATGAGCAGCCGCTACTACTGTGGTAATACATCTCAAGTCACTTCAGGGTATTCTTGTTGCAACAACTTGTTAGTCTAAGTCACTCCATTAAACTAACCAAATTATTTTTTTGCTAATGATATAGAGAGCCTCTCAGGCTGGAACCAATGGATTGTGACCAAAACAAGGGAGGAAGGAGTCACCGGAGTCCACTGTTTGACAGCAAATACTTCAGGAAAGAGAAGTTACAGACCTTGCTGCAGACCAAAAGCCTCACGTAACTGGTACCCTGAATTGATGCAAGGGATCAGGCATCTCAGCAAGGATTCATTATTTCCTACGGCATCTCTCAACATATGAGATATGGCCACAGCCACAAGAGGAAGCTGTTTTTGCAATGTGAGCGTGGCTTGATATGGATGACAGATTGAGAGTGGCCTGAAGCAAACATCATCTGGAGCTTTAGATGGTCATCCTTTTCAGCAGTGGCTGCGTTTATGCGCCATCAGCTAATTAAGGGTGGCCTGTCATTAAAGACGCGTAAATCAGACCTTAATGTGACTCAAGAGTCTTGGTTGAGACACTGGGCGGGAAGAATGTGGTCCTCTGATTTAATGGGCCCTGAGCTGAAGGGGATATAAGTCTTGATAATGATGGCCAAGTACAGTGTATTGATCACCGCTCCCTCTGGTGTCTATGTGGGTTAAAGCAGCCAGGGCGGAAATTGAACTGGGATTTCTCAACTGTGTAGAGCAAGCTTACACAGAGGCGAGGTGGTCAAAATAACTTGACTAATGTGTTTGTATAAGACCACTCTGGTCCACTTTGTCATTTCTACAAGATGCCCACTCATTTGTCCATCTGGCCACAACTGTAACAAAAAAGTCAATTCTGTAGGGCTTTTGGTAATAGATTGCTCTTGTTACATAAAAGTGCTTTCTTTCCAGAGGAAAAAAATAACTTTGGCTCACTTGCAGAAGACAACTGTCCTGGAAATACAAGTACACAAATGATTACCTTCTTTGTAAGTAGGTCTATGGTTTGTAACTCTTTAATTGTCAAAAGGATAAAACATTCACACTCAGTGGATGCCAAGTACTGAATTAATGGTAAACTCTTCAAGTCCAACTCTATTCTAACACAATTCCCCTCCCTGTCACCACTCTTTCATGAGAGTGCTAAATCCTGGCAGAGGCTGCAATGGGAAATTAGACAGTTAGAGACAGTTAGAGATTCCTCTAATTATAAGACAACAGCAGCAAAAGTTTGACAGTGGTTTGGCATTTTGCATTCCCATCATTATTGTAATGAAACATTAAATATTTATCATATACGAGTCAGGGGGGGAATCATTTTGCCCAGTGTCATTAAGATTTTGGTTAATTATCATGGACCATTGGGTCCAGCACCTCCTGCAATGTGCTACTACCCTCTATCCATTATCCACTATGTAATTAGCAACACACTCTGTCTAGCCACCATCACAGTGTACTTGCTCTTGGAAACATGTTCATAATCACCTCAAGATGCTGATTTGGCAAATGCTGTTAATGGAAAGCCTCTGTTAGTTTGCCTGGTATTGAAATCAAAAGGCATTTATGGAGACACTTGGGAGTGCTTTCTACAATTAACTGGACCTGCAGTTCCCAACTCACAGCATTTTCAAAACTGCTTTGCTGCCATATTTTCAGCACACCGAACTTTAAATCAAAAGTATGTCCCATCTCGGTGTAATGATTGGAATTCTACTGTCTGTCACGTATCTTACGAAAATGTATTTTTCTACCATCCATCGTGATTCTACGTGATTCACACATTACAACATCGATGCTGCTTGGACTTATATACATAATAGTGTCAAGGAATCAATCACTCACACATGCCATCCACAGACAGGGCTAATGAAAACAGCCTACCAGACAGGACTGGAACAAACCTTGGACAGGTCTTAAAGGGAAGGATTCCACTTCCACCACAGTCCTTTCCTGGGAACAATATAATGGGCAGAAGATGAGGGAAAGTCAATATTAAAACTCGAGTCCATAAAAAAATACACCTTAGATTGAATGATTTAAAAAAAAAAAAAAAGACACTAAAGACAAGATTTTCTAATATTCAGTTCAAGAAACAGAACATAATGCTCATAAAAAACTGATCTTTTATACAGCCATGTAGCTAGGAACATTCAATATGTCCAGTAAATGTAAGTTTTTTACCCATAAGGTGTCTATCACTGTTTAACACTGTACGTCCTGGTAAAATATTTGTATTAAGATTAACTATATTCTGGTAAAGGTTACACTGCTAGAGGGACACTGAAAGTTGACAGTGACGGTCAGACAGCAGTTCCACTCACCAGGGTCCGGGACGATTTCACGAAGAAAAAGTAGACCGTGTCCTCGACAGAGATAAACAGATTCAGTCAGTTTTCCCACGCCATCAGAGCAAACGAGAGGAAAGGAAGTCTTCATCGGCTGACCCGTCATATATAAATACTGTCATAAATCATCCAGGCTAGCTAACTTGTTTGCATGAGCTTACTTATCACGTTGAGTGGTGACGTAACGTTAGCTAGCAAAACTTTAGCTCCACCAGGTGAAACTTTAATCTTCACTCCAGAGCAAAATAGACACGCTTCAGTTAACTATAGGTACAGGTTCATTACACAAGACTGACTGGCCTGTTACCTGTGTGCCTCTCATTTGCATTAAAGGTTAAAGGCCGTTAAAGGTGACCTCTTGCTCTGATTGGCCATGGGAAACATCAGTTTAATCAATGGGTGAGTGGGAGGGGTTTTAAGCCCGCCCACTCTGAGTGCAATGGTTTCTATGAGTGTTTGTGAATGTAGGATATTAAAAGTTTCACAAATTAAGATCTATGACTTAAAATATAGGCAGTGTCCTTTTGTGCAAACATACACACTTTTTTTTCCTCTCCACCTTGTATTATTAGAGCAAGAATAACTTTTTCTATTACTAATCTGATTTTGTACTTGAGATAAGGCCTACAAGATTGTACATCTGTGCATAACATGTA